AATACTTGGTTTTTTTGATATTTTCACTGTAACACCGTTGTTGTTTAGGTGTCGTTCAATGGAATTGCGAAAACCGAAAAGAGCTGAACGACTGTACTCTTCGCCTTTTTTATTTCTGGCTTCCACATAAAATCTTGCTAGGTTTTGGTCTAATTCCTTACTGTTCATTTTAAGAAGTGGTGTTGTGATGTTTCTTTCCTGACACCAAGCTGTGTAACCAATTATTTTGACATTGAGAAAAAAATCTTTTTTTTCAAATAAATCAATCTCAGACAACTTTTGCTTATTGAGTTCGTTAATTTCGAAGCAAAGCAATGGCTTCTTACCTTGAAATAATTTCACTACCCATTTTGTGTTTCTTTTAGTCGCGTTCGACTGCGACTGCTCAAGTAGTTTTGTCAAGTCGTTTTTGACAGAGAAACGCGATTTTCTTTCTTTCTCCTGTTTATCGTAACTTTCCACAGCCTCGACAAGACTTTTTTCGAAATCTTCGTTCACCCAGTCAGCTAAAATATCGTCTAAATTTTCAAAACTTTTCGCCATTTTAGAATAACAGAGAGCAAAAGTTTTAATGATGACGTCATCTATGCGTCTGTCCTCCAATAGATCATAAGTGAGAACCAATCAGAATGCATGCATAACTGAGCTTATTATATAATTGTTGTTACACTCATTGAAGGGAAGCACGAATTACTTTCAACAACTCACTTTGGAAACTTGGTTTGATAATGAATTAATTTATTCCTCAAAAAATGCCAAGAACTACCTACATAAAACACTGAACTCTCAACGACGTTGAAATGACCAACAAGCCGAACAGAACAACCAAACTTTATTGACGGATCAAAGCTAATTCACCACAACTAAGCTACGCTACTTAAGTCTTTACAGCTAATAACATCCCAGGACAACTGACAAACCGGTGATTTTCAGGAACCATACTTCAATGTTTTACCAAAAAGCAACTCGATTCACCAGAATCGGGTGATAACTTACGCGTGGGATGTCGAATTGTCAGTTAGTATCCCTGAAATGAGTTCTTTTGAGCGATCTCATCCATAGAATCTAACCACACAATTAACAGTTACTCCAGTTACTCTTCGAGTGTTCAACTCCATAGCTCACGAGTGAGCGCAGTCGAGTTGAACAAGAGAAGAGAAATTCCATATCTACGCGCGCCCATGTATTATTTTGTTTATCAAATAAACACAATAGCCCTTTCCTGACAAGAAAAGCCGACTTCATTAATGAACGAAAATAAATGATCACAATCCCCAAATAACAATCGTAAAGTGCGTTGGCGCTAACTTTTAAGATGGAAAAATGCGTTGAATCATGATTACAAAAACAACAGTGGCCTACGCGCGCCCATGTATTACTCTCTATTTGTTTCACGCGCTTGAAATGCGGAGCTAAATATCTTGCTCACGCCATTCATACCGCGCCCTTGTTTTACATTCGAAATGTCCTCGAAATTTCAACATTATCGCTTACCTTGTTAATTTTTGTGTATTCTTACGACAGGTACTTCCATTCGAATAATTCTGATACTCTTTTCTCTGCTCATCATCATTTTCATACCAATAACTATTGTTCAAGCTACTACATATGAGAAATGTTGAGCAGTTTTAATCTCTTGGCAGTTTACGATCCTTCACCGTGCTCCGAAGGTTTGGAACTCCCTTCCTAATGGTCTCATCTTAAACCTAGCTTTTTAAATCTCAAAAGATTTTATTGAAAACTTCCTAATCGAAAGAGTGCTGTACTAAAATCACCCTTTCCCTTATGCAAATGTTCCTTTCCATCCCCTGTATCGTCTGAGGAACCCAAACTACATAAGCTTGAGCTTCTATTGGGTTTCCTCGCAACATTTCAATAAGTGACATGTCATAATTTGTAAAGAAATGTTCTTTTGTGATATTTCTGTAATTATTGATTGATCACTTTTAAATTGTAATTTATCAAATATGTTTGCTCACACACAATTGGTCTCAACGTAATTTCACTTGAGAATTCAAATCTGCTTAAGTTGCAGAAGTAAATATGTCAACTTTGCCAACTATTTCAACAAACATGGTTGTCGCTAACTTTTTGATCTGCCAACTAGAAAACTTCAATGTTTGTACAATGATAACATAAGGTCAATCTAAAACAGAAATGCAACAGAGGTATTTCTAAAGAGCAATTGGAGGCTTTTTTAAAGAGTTTCCAATCACCATTAATGTTACAACATATCAGGCCACAAGAAATGGCAGGACTGATATGGTCTAAATAATAGCAACAAACATAATAACTTAAAAGTCAACACGAGTAGAATGAAGGTCAAAGTTTATTTTTAAGTGATGAGTTGAGCGAAATTTGAACAAAATGCCATGAAAGACAAAAGCAGTTTGTCATCAGACTGGAAAGGAAAAAGAAAGAAAAACCTTTGATGTTAAAATTTGGATGGTGGCTGTTGATGGAACAATTTTTATTAAACTGTTTCAAGCAAAACCGTTTAAAAGGATTTCAAAGTGATGACAGCAAGAAGTAGGAGTATCTCAAGTGCACAGTTTAATTTTGTTCAGTACTCAAACCTTTTCCTCAGGTAATTTCTATATAAAACTTTCCCCCCCCCAAAAAAAAAAACAAAAACAGGAAAGCTATAGCTAATAGAAATGCAATCAGAGTACTGAAAAAAAGTGAAATGAATGAAAAAGCAACGTCAGAGTAATAACCCAGTTACAACATCCAGAGTTTGGTGAGAGACACTTTGTTTAAAAACCCAGTAGGATGCAGAGAAAATATGGGAGTTTTGACAACTTTGGGAATGGGATTTAAGATAGGCCTGAGATAACAACATGAACAGACAAGGCAGCCATCACAAAATGGTAAACATAGCGATCTTGTAGATAGCCTGCAGAAGTGGCGTATTTTTTAAATTGTTTTTGTTTACGTTTTTCAAATGAACGGAGGCAAGTGCGAGACGAGCACGAATTAGTAGTGGGAATCACGAATGAGGGGGGAGCGCGAAATAAAAGAACATCCGGAGCCACGCTATTGTGCAAGTTGTTTCTTCGTTCATATGTGAACGCAACAACGACGTTGTTTACTCGTGATGATGTGATCATCGAATCAGTTCAACAACAGCGTGGCGGTCGTATCATGCTCAATGGACGAAGCTATTCGAGAAGCCCTTCGTTTATTTCCGAACGAACCAACTGAAATGGAAAATCAAAGGAACCGCATCAATGGTATACACAGAGTTAAATGATTTTAATGTGTATAACCTTCCAGCTTTCAAAAAATTTCAACTTTGTATCGTAACTTTTCACCCTATTTATTTCTTTGTACTTTAGAGGCACTCAAAAGTTGTTTAATTGCGTGTTTTTTTTAGTAGGCACGTGTGTAGCTTGCTATCCAATGTGCATAATTGCATAAACTACAATTTTACTTCATTTACCACATTGCATGTAGCATGTATTGTTGTTTGGATGACATTGAATACTCAGGCTTATGTTGTTCTTGCAAATACGGATATCCAGTCCACACAGGGAAATATATGACAAACACTAGATACAGATAGGCGTCGTTTACTCGGTAGGAATCTAGTAAAGCAAGGATCCTCCTGATGAGGCCTGAAATTGTTGGGCACCCTCCTCTTTTAATTCGTGTTTTATTTTGACCTCTACTCTTGAATATTAAAGACACGTAGATTTAGAGTGGCTTTTTTGTATTTCGACAAGTGAAGTTTAAATCGATTGGCATCCACGGGATGATCACGGGGAGAACATATGTGCAAAATTAAAACAAGAGAGCTGTGCAGACCATGTTCTGCTTTACATCTTGCTCTGGATATTTGTAAAAATAATCCAGTCATTTTCACTGTCACAGTGACTCTTAGAAACCACTGTGCCTGTAGAGGATGATTGGCATTTCTCTCGGCTGAGAATGAAAATCGACAACTGGAAGATTTGCGACCTGTCGATTTTGGCCCTTTACCTGAAAGACTTCTTCTTTCAGTAAGGACAAAGTCAATAAATGACAATTTCGTAAATTGAAAATTACGACCATTGTTGTTTTTGTAATCACAATTCAACGCATTTTTCCATCTTAAGAGTGAGCGCCAACGCACTATAAGATTGTTATTCGTAGATTGACGACTAAGTTTTCATTCATTGATGAAGTCGGCTTTTCTTCTCAGTAAAGGGCTACTGTGTTTATATGATTAACAAAATCATACATGGTTGCTTATAGATATGGAATTTCTCCTCTCGTGTTCAAATCGACATCTCACTCGCTCGCTGCGCTCAAATTATCATATTTACGCGCGCCCATGTATTATTCTCTATATAGCACATGTGTGTAAAATTGGAATTTCGAAGTTATAAAAGCCGTGGGAAGTCATCTCTCAAAGAAGCATATTTTGTGGAGTACAATGAGTTTACGCCCGTTTTGCTATCGATAGCGAGTTTGCAACGTTCAAGTTCGTTACAAGTTAGCTGCACACCCCACATATGCTGAGTTCACTACATCAACTAACCAAATTCCCTTCTACACAAAAAGCCAATGAGCAATCTCTAGATTTGAGAATAAAACTCTACAGTCACCATTGAGAAGTTCTGTAAAAGTGAATTAAGAGCTGTGTAAAATAAACTAACAAAAGATCCACTTTTAGGCTTTTCTAAATCTATATGTATTATTTACGACTGAAAGATCAAACAGAAAATAAAGGACTCGGTTTATTTTTTTTCCTGTGAACTGCCATTTACAAGTTTTTGTCCTCATTGACAATTATGTCTGTCTGTCCTCATTTAATTATGATTTTGTGCCAGTTCAGTCTTGTTTCCCGATTTTCTTAATCTTGATATGATCATTCTTCGAGCGCGATGAATTTTCAACATGAGTACTGGAAGCTGCGATAAACGCGTTTGATACGATCATTCTCCAAAATCATTCAAGTTTCCATGACGAGATAAAAAGTATAATAAGAAGCCGTAAAATAAAAAAAAGGTTTTCTTTCAAAGCAAAACCACGAACCACAGCAGGACCAAGGAACACAGCAACGCAATCATAAGGAACAAAACACGCGAGTGGAATGAAACGCCTGATGACTCAAGAAAAGCTGCAATAATACGAGAAAAAGTTAGAATGTAGTTTGTACACATACTATACTGCAATATTTAAAACAAAATCAGTTAATCACAAACGAATTGATAAAGTTGTCTTGAAGATGGTTGTTTGCCGCCCAAAGCTTCCAAGGCTAGTTTATTTATGATAGATGATGGCTGCAAAATTTCATTCATCTCCGAGTACTTTTAATTCATGTCATCGGCTACTTCTTTATGCAACCAAGGAATTTATGCATAGCCAGCGAACAATTACAGTTACGCTTCATAACTGGGGCTTAACAAATATTCGGCTTGTGATGGTGCCTAAGAAAGTGTTGCTGGAAAAGCTTATAATTTACTCATCCTAAGTCATTCTTTTTTATCTCAACATATTCCATGCTATCCTACTCTACCCCATTTTATTCTATCCTGTTCTGTTGTGACATCCCATTTTATTCCAACCCATCCTATTCTATTTAATAAAATCAATCACTGACCTGGTTGACAAGTGAGGTTCAGGCCCATAGAAAAGCCCTTCTTGCACATACACTTTCCATTCTGACAAAATGAATTTACTTCGCATTCTGGATGACAAATTTCTGAGGACAGTAATGATACGTATCTATGGTGATGTTGTTTCCTTACCGTAAGCACTAATTATTTGGATAGGAACCAACATACATCTATCAGCTTAGATATAGTTACCTCAGCTCTATGGATCTAGATTAAATTGACTTTAAAACATTACCTGAACAAGTTCCGTCCGACGCCTTTCTATAACCATCTTCACAGAGACATTCATAACTGCCATTTTGGTTTTTACACCTTGAGAAAGCTGGGCAGTCGTATGTTTTTTCCTGGCATTCATCAATTTCTATGCAAAACAGAAAGGACACATCACCTTCCATTCCTTTGAGTTCACGATTGATTCGGCATAAACAACTCAGTCGAGAAGACCTCTAAGAGATGATTCCCAATTTTGGGGACATGGCTATGTCGGTTGAATGGAATCAGCAATTTAAGTGTCCCCGCAATGGAAAGGGTCTGGATGAGAGAAACCCCATTTTACGCTGACATGAAGAAGGTCTCAATGCTTTGTGTAATCGTACCACAAGGTGAGTGGTAAAAACAAAAAATGGATAAAAAAAATTATGATAAAGAAACGATTTTATCATTTTTGATAATTTTAATAATTATCTTAGACATCAATTTGAAATTTTGACCGCCCTATTATTGCCTCGTACGTATGAACGCCAGACCTCATACGACATTTGAGCAGCATGCGTTTACATTCGGCTGTCATTGCCTGAAAATCGGCCTCTAGTGGCCAAAATACAGTAGTATAATAATACAAAGTATGAAGTTATCAACTGCTTGACCAAATCCAACCTTTAGGATAGCGTATTTCTGAAAAATGTTGCGATGGCGATCGGCCACGAATTTTGGCTCTCCGCTTTCTGCCTCCTTGGATTCGCTATAAACCGCGTCGGCGTGCCTGAAACCAGCCTACAATCCGCTTAAGATAATGTCCCTTAAGTAGTAGCCCTTGCTGAATTGATCCAAGCGGTATAAAATGGATTTGTTTACATCCCGAAACCAAGATTTGAAAGATCTCGTAATCGAGTCTCGTATTTGCATACAAGAGTGGAAGGACGTCCAAAGGGTATCCCAGGATGGAAAGCTTGCTAAATCTCCACTGATAATTAACACGCCTTTTATTTCTGGTATGTGGGATGCCTATGTTATGGAGCATAATCACCAAAACATCACCTTATTTTTTTTTTACTTTGAGAATGGGACAAGAGCCTCTGGTCGATGTATAAAGCGACGAAAAATTCGTTTTTCTAAGACACGTATCGCTTATTACAGTAACTCTGAGGCTACCCAAGCACTCCTGCTAAGCGGTGATGTGGCAAAAAACCCCGGACCTGGCCAGGAAAAAGCGACAAATACCAAAACTATAACATCCAGTTCGAAAACAACACCAGCCAAATGTGACCTCTGTGAGAAAACAATTAGACGCAATCAAAAGAACATTTTAGGTGTTAATTGTATCGGATGCTTTCACTGGGAATGTGTTAACTGGAAACCAATGGTCAGTGACTGATTGTGCGATAATTGCGTAAGAATGGCTTTGCCTCTTTACAAATGTCCTGATGCTGAGCTACTCGACGACACCACAGAATTCACTCGGGATGCTGCATTATCAAGTCCATCTGATTATGCTCACCCTCTTCGTAATAAAAACTCACATTTCAAGATTATGCATCTTAATACACAAGCCTTAGCGTCCACTTTTAACGAGTTTCCACTAACTGTCAACATTTTTCCGCAGTAAGATATTATCGCCTTCAGCGAAGCCTGGTTAAGAGACCAGCCACAGTTACTACAATACGTATCGGTACCTGACTTTACAACTAAGTTTAGAAACAGGCAAGGCTTGAAAGGAGGAGGTTTCGGCGCCTACATCAAAGACAATATAATATAAGCGCCGACGCGACATAGAGCACTCCTTTCCAGAGATGGAACACCTCTGGGTAGAGATTCTCGGCCGTAACAAGTACAGCAAAGCGTTGGTGAGCGTGATTTATAATTCTGAACGTATTTTAAATCCATCTAGCTGGTTAGATAGCCTCGAGAGTTTGCTTGGTCATCTCACAGTGTCATGGGATGGCATGCTAATCCTTACTGGTGATATCAATATAATAAAGGTACCAGACCATCCTTGACGTCTTTGGATTAACGCAAGTAGTGACGCATCCGATAAGAACTACAAAGACAACGAAAACTCTTATAGATCACTCACGAACTACCCACAGAAGGTTACGGACACAGGTGTAGTGCCTTGTTCCATAATAAGTGATCACGACGCCATCTACGCTTGCATCAAGCGGCTTAAACACATACGGGGTATGAAAAACTTCAAAGAGGAGTCTTTTGTAGAGGATTTCTCTACGCTTCCCATGTCCATCATATCATGTTCGGACGATCCAGACGAACAATTAGAGAGCCTTAACTCCCTGATTCTAGAATGCATAGAAAGACACGCCCCGTTAAAAAGGATACGTGTTACTAGGCCACCAGCGCCTTGGATGAAATGTCCTTACATTAAAGACCTACAAAAGGAGAGAGACACTGCAGATACGAGGCCCACAATACCCCTTCTGATACAAATTTGGACTACTTTCGTTCAGTACTGAAAGCTGCTATCCGAACTGCCCGTAAAGCTTTTATTGAGAAGGCGCTTTACTCAAACAAGTCAAGTGAAGTTTGGAAGGTCATCCACAGAATTCTTAAGCCTAGCCCAAAGCCTTTGCGCTTCAACCCTGATACGTTGAATGGTCATTTCGCGTCTACAGCGCAAAGAACTCTTAATGTAAATGCGACTCCCTACGTTGAGCTGACTGAACTGATCGAAAATCTCTCCGATGATTCGGATTACCATACTCTATTCAACAATTCTCCTTTTTCTAGAGAAGAGGTATTCAAAGCGATTAAAACCTTAAGGTCCGATTGTTCCACGGGAGCTGATCAGATTCTAACTACATTAATAAAGCTTGTGGCTGACCACTTGGCGGGCCCTCTTACTAGGATCATTAACGGTTGTATAACTAAAGCACAATTCCTAGAGCTTTGGAAGATCACCAAAGTGTCGCCCATACCCAAGGTAGACAACCCAACAATTAATGACGAACTAAGACCAATCTCGATGTTACCGGTGTTGTCTAAGGTGTGCGAAAGGTTGGTCGGCCGGTAGATGTCGGAGTTCGCAAATAGCGCCTCTCTTCTTCATGATAACATTTTCAGTTTCCGTAAATGGCACTCTGCCACTACTGCCCTTCTTGGAATAAGAGATTATATAAAACGCGCTAAGAAAAGGAAAGAGGTCGTCTTGATGGTTCTCTCCCATTCTTCTAAGGCTTTTAATACGGTTTGTTTCAAGACGACGTTAAAGAAATTCTACAAACTCGGCTTCTCCTAAAACTATTTAAAATGGCTCCTTAGCTATTTATCTGATCGAACACAATTTGTACAAATTGATGACACTAAATCACACTTCAAATCACAGTTTGGAATACCTCAAGGATCGATTCTTGGGTCGATGATCTTTAATTTATGTGTATCAGACCTCCGAGAAATCCTAGATCTATCCACATCTTGTTCTCAATACGCTGATGACCCATCCCTCTACACTCACTGTGCAGTAATGGGATTGGAATCAACGACGTGTGATTTAAACGAATTCCTTACCAAACTCGGATCATGGTCTAAGGACTCTAAACTTGCCTTGAACCCTAATAAGACCAACTTCATGGTTCTCTCCACCCATCAAATGTCAACCCACCACAAATTAGCAGATCGTGCACTTAATCTCACTTTCGGAGACAGCTCTCAGACATTTTGTAATACCCAATTTTATGTTTGTATAACAGATGTAGAGCCATTTTACCCATGGAAATGCTGTTAATAAACGGTTATTATTATTATTATTAATATTATTATTATGTAGACCTGAGTTGTTCTTATGCACAATTCTAAATTGTTATTTCTTTTAAACGCAGTTAACAATTTAAAATTCGTATCCTCTACCTTATTATTACCTGCGCAATGCATTTTGTCTAAACGATATCCTTCGTGGCAGCTACAGGTGTACGATCCAAATGTGTTTGCACAAATCATATCGCACGGACGACCAATCTCGCATTCATCATAATCTGCAAGAGACAAGAGATGGACTATATACTAGAGAAATCACCCTCAAAACCTCTACAACCACGTGCTTTATCACAAATACTTATGGACGTAGAGCATACCTTACTTAGTATGAGGAAAAAGTGTCGACATTTCTTACCCACACATATTCTTTTTCGTGAATTGAAAGCAAATCCATCCGGGCATGTGCAAGTGTATGATCCTAAAGTGTTCCCACAAGTTGCTGTATCACCACATATCTCCAATTTCGCACATTCATCGATATCTTAAATAACACATGTCAAAAGATATTGTAAACAAGCGTATTGACTCGAGTATTCATAGAGAGATGAGTGCTCTAATTGGTCGAGAATAACGACATATCTTATCACCAGCAAACTGCGCGATGTGATCATTATACTTTATTAAGAGAATGAAAATTTAAAAGAATACAGTCAATCTAGTGAACTGAATATTGTGAAATAAATCTTGAACTATGGTTCCGAACATTGCTTCTCCTTGCATCCTTTTGGAATCATTTCCTTTCATTTCAAGGCTCATGTCAGACCTTCCTGTGCTTTTATTATTCAATAAAAGTGACCCGCCTCAGAAAGATGATAGAAATTTTACAGTAACGTTGGTAGAAGAGGCCAAAGGTTAAAATTTCACTTTCAGGCTCTTCTTACTTGTTTCAAATTAACTTAAAATACGTCCTTAGATTCGGGCCAAAAATCCAAAGTAGCGTACATCTCACAACGAGATTATTCTAGCAGGTTACATAAACAAAAAGTCACCGAAACATTTTTTTCCACCATCATTTGCACTCTTGTAGCCAACTTCGCAGTTGCATTTGTAAGATCCCCCAGTGTTTGAACAAACAGAGTTTGAACCACAGATATCTTTGTTCAATTCACATTCATTGTTGTCTGCAGAATGAGAAAAGAAGACATTATGTTATAAGTGGACTTAAGGACTGGACAATAACTTTTTGTGTGCCGATTGAAAACATGAATTAAGTACATACTACGTCTGAATTGTAGAAAATCTCGCGTGTTTGTTACCCCTTTGTTTGGAATTTTAAGACGTTTCGGAGTTTTATTTTAGCCAAATGTTGTGGTTCACCTCTGAACAAGTTTAATACATATTTTCTTCGCAGTTTTGACTCTGGCCTCTGTTTTCGTAATTTTTACATGAATCAATCAATAACAGCATCTACAATTTGGAAGAGCTCAACCGTTCTTCCCATCTTGCTTAGCCGGGAGTAAGCTCAGCGGCTGAATCACTGAAGCGCCCATTTTTTAATTCAAATCTGCCTATGAAAGGCTCGGCGTCCAGGTGAAAGGCGATGTTAGCTGAATTTTTTTGCTGTAACAGAGGCTGTTGTTGTTGTTGAAATGATAAGGGCGGACCTTTCGTCTCTTTCAGATTGCATACGAGAGAGCCATCTATTGTTGCATGAGGCAATTGAATGGAGAGAAGAGGTAAACAGCTTTTTGCCACTGGCTGCATAAAACAATCGTTTATTATTGGTATTAAACCCATGCAAGGTAATTGGTTTAGGCTGGTATTGCTTGATTAACGTTTTATTCGTTAAATAAAGATAGTCAAGAAAATGTCCTTACCAATACAGCCCACTGCACTGAAATAATAGCCTCCTTTGCAATCACACACGTAAGTGCCATTAAAATCTTTACAAATTGTATTCTTCGTGCACGGGCCATAGGAGCAGGGGGTTAGTGCTGGTAAGATAGACAAATCCATTCAGTGGAGCACAAGAAATGTTTTTAAGGGGGAAAGAATGATTTGAGATTTACAAAGATCAGCCTATAGCAAAACATGTTGGAGACACGTTGAATATCCATGATGGTGGTTTAAAGGAGCAAATATTTGTGTAACAACGATAGAAGGCATTTGTATAAGGCTTATATAACATAGAAGTCTGTTTCTCCGTTAATTTATTATCTGGACTCATATTGACATACTTATTTTCTTCTAGCTCGGGTTCAATTAACTTAACCCTCATGTCGATTAGAACCTTTTCAAAAGGCAAAATCCTACGAGAATATGCTGTGTTACCTTGACAACTTCCATTTGCTGTCTCCCTATAACCGGCTTTACAGCGACATTCGTAAGCGCCAATCAAGTTTTTACACTGTGAAAACTTTGTGCAATTGAATGTTTCTTCCTCGCATTCGTCAATATCTACGAACAGCAAAAAATAGTTATTTGCATTTGATCTCTTTTTTATTTGTTTGTTATTGACAAAAACGAAACTACAAAGACGTCCCTGGGGTCAGAACAAGAGAGAGGAAAATGCATATTTATAACTTTAATAATAACTAGGATAACAATATTAATGACAACAATATTGATAAAGACCATAGTAACATGGCCTCTCTGTTAGAAAGAAAAGAATTTTCAAAGCTTATGATTTGTGCCTTGTATTATCCATGCATGGATATTTTGGAAAAAAATGTTTGTGTGGTCTCCATGTACTATTTAAGATTTTTGTTGTTCTTTTTATAAGTGTAAGTCCAACTGGGTTGTTTTCGGAACCTAATGTGCTTTATTTTGCGAAAATCTCGGAAATATATCGGCATGTTAGGCAATCAGAAAGAAATTTTCAGCTCCTTTTCTACAAAATTCTCTCTCTGCAGCAGGAATCTGAAAGGATAACATATGAAATATATCAAACATCGTTTAATTCAAGCAGGAGTTCGAATATTCATTATTACTTACCAGAACAATTCTTTCCATCGTTCATATTACTCTTGAAGCCCACTTCACAGTTGCAGTGATAAGATCCCACGGTGTTTGTACAAACGGAGTTGAGGCCGCAGAAATTTTTGTCCTCATTGCACTCATTTGTATCTTTAGGATGAAGAAGGATGACACATACCGTATTTACTTGGCTTTAAGCCGATCCCGGCTGCAAGCCGAGATCCCAAACTTCCAATTTGTAAACTCAGCGGCACCATCACGAAAAATTAAACCAAAACATTCGCTATAAGCCGAGCTCTATTTTAGAACACAATGTTCACAAAAGAAACACTGATTGTCATGAACATCTAGACAGTGAAGACGACGAGAGGTAAGAACAGACCGCTCCAACTACAAACAAACGGCTCCTTTAGGAGCCACCACAAAACAAAAAAGTTTATGACCAACATACTTTACCCTGAGTTTATTTTATTTATTTTCACTCGGCTTATACGCGAACACGTGCCCATTTATCATTGTTCTAATAAGTCGAAAAAGTTTTGTTTTAGGAAAAATCTCGGCTATAAGCCAAACCCCCTTCTATAGCTCAGATTTTTTACCGAATATTAGCGTGAATTTGCGCGGCTTATAGCCAAATAAATACGGTAATTATTTTGTATTTATTAACATGCAATTCTCCCTTGTTGATGGGCTTTTATTTAACTGGAAGCGAAAAGGCGTTTAATGGCTGGGCACTGAAATATGTATCATACAAGATGATTCTGTGTGACCTCAAGACTTTTAAAACTAAATTATTACACTAAGATGTAATTTTGATGTAACAGATACTCAGTTTGACTCAGTTTGACATTTCTTGTGTATAATACCTTATAATACCTTAATATATATATAATACCTTAATACCTGATAACCTTGTTTACAATCACACAGGTGCGAAACTCCAAAGTCTTTGCAAACTCCATTCTCCATGCACTCTTTGTCATTTTATATCTAAAAGTACGACTTAATGAATAGCCCCCATGTTGGACAAATTTGGTGTAAGCTGTAACGAAACGTCTCGCATTGCCCGCTAATCTAACTGATTGCAACACCCATATCATGGTGGTTCATTTCACTGGTGATCTTAAAGCTTGACAGTCTCATTAACACTTCTTGAAAAATAATAATGTTCTTACCGATGCACTTGATGTCTATGGCGGTAGCTTTACTTCCCTTGTCTGCCTCATATCCCACAACACACTTGCAAATGTATCTTCCTATCTGGTTGACGCATGTGGTGTCCTTACTGCATTCGTTCAATTTTGGATTACTGCATTCATCCTTGTCTGAAAATTGTTCAGAAAAGAATACGAGATATAGGATAGCAAAATTATTAGCTCATAGTACGAGTTCAACTAATTTAAAAGCTGTACACTAAAGCACAAACTATGTTCACTTTCACATCCATTTTGTTTTTTTGGGAATAATTTGAGACATTTTAGACAGCTAAAGCAAATAAAGGATTTCGCGTCTTGGAAACTGAGTTGATTCCAAACATGGCTAAAACATGTGCGATTTTCTCTTGCATAATAATAATAATAACTACGATAATAATAATAATGACAACAATATTGATCATGACCATAGTAACATGGCCTTTCTATCAAAGGAAAAAAAGACTTTCCAAAGCAGGAGGATTTGTATTGAGAGAAAACGCTTTTTCCTCTAGTAACGCTTACATGATTTTCATTCAAATTGTTGCCTATGTTTTGTAGCTGCTATAACATTGTAACTGCTATAAAAATTTTCCCTTCCCGTCTTGCAAGATGATCAATATTATGTACTTATTTACCTACAAATAGTCATGGAAAATGTATTTCTTCTGAACGAGAAAGCATGAAATTGTTAAGGTTTCAAATGGTCATAAAACCTTCAGCTTCACTGACATTCGTCTGAAAATCTGTATTCTGGCAGAATGAATCCTGATCCTCATATTTCTTGAAATCATGAAATTCCATGGGAAAGAATACCGATTGTTAATCACATGACCATGTGAAGGCTTAGTTCAACTGATAAAGTGGTTTCAAAGTAGTTTGTTGTCGTTTTACCTCGACATGTTTGAAGTTTTCCTTTGGCATCACTCACAGCTTCGTAACCATCCCTGCACGAGCACTCATATGATCCAGCGGTGTTCTTACAATGATAGTTCTTCACATGCCTCTCATGATTACATGCATTTTTAGAAGCGCATTCGTCGATGTCTAAGAATTTTAAAACGGAAAACTACTGAAGTTAGAAAAAAAAATTGCAGCTACTGAAGCTGTTTATAAAAATTTATAAGGTTTCTTTAAAAGACTCTGGGCATTTCAAGTATGTTGCCCAACCCCTCCCTTCTCAGTTGTATTGAATGAGTGTGTCTAACTGTTTATGGTATATGAGTATATACGTCATGTCTTTTATGGCGTCGTGCACGCTATTATGGTTAACAAGCATTCATCGAAGTGGAGCCAAATATTCATATTAGATTTGTAGCAAAAATACCGAATTTGGTCAGAAATTTAACTTCTGACAGGCGATTTTATCTCGTCGTCTGCCCGAAGGTAAATAGTTCTTGCTAATCACCTCAGAACAAGCCAGCAAACCCACGCGAAAAGCACTATTCACCCGTGTGGAATATACTAACAACAACTCCGGTGATCAGAGGAGTGCGCGCGCTCTGATTGGTCGAAGATTGAGTCATATCTCGCTATAATTGCTTCGCGTAAGGTGATTATGTCAAAATTGCTATCTCGTGTTTTGTCAATGGAGGTGACATACGTAATAGAAAGGAAATACACACCTAAAAAACGAAAAAAATACTAAAACATTTGGCGCTACACGTTACAAAAGAAAGATATGTAGTTTTTGGCTGATGGAATAAAATGAACCTGTTAAATTCTAAGAAAAACTGAATTCAGAACTATTGTGGCACAATTTATAATTTTCAATTTACATCACGAATTTACAACATAATTCAATAGCACCTTATTTAGAAATTATACTAAAGCACCTATTCGTCTGAGGCTTAGTGAAGATTGTTGAATAATCTCCTTGACTTTGTTTCGGGAATCATTCAACAAAATTCACTTCGCTTCGGCAAATAAATGTTAAATATTTGCAATCTACTAAATCGAGACTGAGCGAGCAGTCACTGCGAGGAGCTGATACGAAAAACGTTTTCATAAATTAAAATATCGCGTTTGAAACAAACAAAATATTTCTGATATTCAGTCATAGTGAAGAATTCAAATCATCAGAGCAAAACAAATATCCTCTTATTGCTTCACATACCTTTGCATTTCTTATACCGCCCTGTTATTTGGAATCCACTCGGACAAATACACGAATGACTTTTTTTCCCATTCACGCATTTGTAATTGTCGCCACAAATATAAGGCTTTTTACAGACATCAACAACTAGAAAACGTAAAAAAAAAACTCTAAAGGCATAGCATGGGAATACTGATTTATATTTTCGTGATAAAGGACATTTCTAGCAGTATTAAAAGCTTGCGTTGCTGGCGGTTTTTTGGGTGCTTGATGAAACTCCAGGCCTAGGTGCTCAGATAAAGTGGAGAAGATGTTTGAGTGGAGAAACTTATTTTTCCGTTCCAAGACTCTCGTGGCCTCGCCGCCTAACGCGTCAAAACTCTCACAAAATGGCTATTTATTGAACCAACACTGATATGCCATAACCAGACCCCTCCTGAAAGAACAACTAAAGCCCAAAAATTCAAGAAAAATTATTCCATAAATAGCTCTGCATCAAACGGTGCTCAAGTAAAGGTACAACTTTTAACACCAATCATCAAAATTGCTTTGATATGTATATCATTACCTAACAACGGGCCATTGTAAATTTCCACCTCACGGAACTGGAGTTTGGCGGGAAATTTTTCAAGAAAGAGGCTGACAATCCTCTTTCTGGTGTCCTTTGAAAGAATTATAGTCTGGACAGGTTCTGCTGTTGGAGAATCCAGACTGCCAACTTTAGCTCCATCTCCTGTCAATGTGGAAATACCAAAGATTCATTCACAAGAAGAATTCGTCAGAGGGCATGTGGCGAGGGTGCTCTGACTTTTTCGTCGTGAAGAATAAGATATCAAGTTGCTCTGAGAGAGGGGTCTGACACACGTATTCGATAACTTGCCTAGAACTTTTAAACCTTTGAGGTCAGCCGGTTTGTAGCCTGTCGCTGTCACAATTCGCACCAAATGAACTTTGCATACTGCTATCAAGTCTACACGCCACCACAGTGGAACATGATCTTCGTTGATAGAGAACGATTTGTCTGCGACGAAAGAAAGAATTAGACGAACAAGGTTAGTAAATACTGAACAAGCAAATAACTTATTATGATAGAAAGTCTGTAAATAAATGCACATTTGCGTACAAAACAATACAATACCTATTTTCTGATCACAGCCTCTGTATGCATTGTCGTTATCTTGAGATGCTTTCGCAGGACGCTTTGCAGCTAAGTTTACTGAAAATAGAATCAAAATATTACTAAGAAACAAGCGAACAAATGGTCGATCTATAAAGTAACAATACAAACTTCAGGTATTTCGCAAATTTTTCAAACGTTTGCAGTCGTGGGTATCTTGATTCATAAAGAAACATCTGTTGGAAAAAGAGTGAAAATTGCGCATTCTTACCTGTCTTTGTCTGAAAAACCTCCACTTCACAAATTTCAAAAGTGCGACGACTTTTCAAGTCGACATCCAATCTATTCCCAATAACCGGCTTCTGGCATTCAAAGTAATTTGCCGATTCTTTATATTTAGGAATTGTTGTACAGATTTCTTTCTTTCCTGAGTAACCTGTAATTTCAAAGTTGACAGCCATGGTTGATAGTAAAACAGCACAGTCAGTTATGCATTTATGTGTACAGCCAATGCTGGACTCAACACATAGCACTTACCCTGACTTAGCACAAACCGCAATAAGAACCGCTTCTTTTGAACACTCTATATACCCAGACAGACATACATATTTATTTATAACTTAGAATACAGACAAATATTTCTTATGCGAACACCCAAAGAACTCTCGTCGTGGTCGGCTTAATACAAGCCCCATTGTATTATTATACAATTATATTTTGTCCAGAAAATCATTAGAGTGTCACAGAACACCCACGTGACTATCAGTAGTCTTAGTCCACTTAATTCAACCTTTGGTACGCCGTAAACTATCGACCCACTATCAGGTGCTTCACGATCATTGGGGTGTTATAGAACACTCACGGGACTATCACCGGTCGTGGCTCACTTCAATACAAGCTTTAGTACACCGTAAACGATAAGGTCCTCATGATCATTGGGGTCTTACAGAAAAACCACAGTCTTGCTAGTTAGGGTCCCTCTAATTCAAGTTTTAGCGCACAGTACACTATTGAGTCCCAATACTCCTGGCCTGAGTCCTTTCTGCTCACGGAAACGTTCAAGACAATTCAGTAAAAAGCCGTGCGTAAGTAAAAACGTTAGTAAAGACAAAAAGTAGTCTGAACCTGGCAATGTAACCAAAGACCCACACGGAAACGCGATTGATAGAATGAGTCATAATTTCAGAATAACATCTGGCTGAACTCACCAACTGTTATTTCAGAACCTCCAAGACTCGTTGAACGACCATGTGATATAAATACCACCGCTACGCGGATATTATTTCCCAGGTCCAGAGACCACACAGTTCCTGTTGTCCTAAAACATGACTGGAGATCTCCATCGTTCATGAGAGACTTTTTGAGTTTAGATGCAGGTTGCAAAGCAACGTTCGCTGTTAAAATTCAATAAAAGCATGGTCAAAAAGCCTTGGATAATCAGCTTCTATATTTTAATCTGGGATCCCAAATACTAAAAACAATTCAGGAATCTACAATAGCGAGTTTCTGCGTCTGTAAATTACGTGGTAGTCTACCAGGCATAATAACTATACAAATTTCTGAAAGGTATTTTCTCCCCAAGGAAGATGAAACCTTGGTACGCACCCGTAGAATAAAAGAATAACTGGAACTTTTCAATTTCCATTTCGTGGTTAGGACCCTAAAATTAGCCTTCATGTCAAATTTTAGTCAAATCAGTAAGGTTAAGTGGCCGCGATTTTTCCAAAAAGTTCGAAACTTACAGACTTACAGCTCCTAAAGGTTCAAATCAAGTTTAGAAAAAAGTTTCGCCCTAAAGGAAACATTTCACAAAATTATTCCAATACTTCCAACACCGCACGACTGATGAAGATTAAGTTGCAAACTAAAAATTTGAAGGATGAATTTATGAAATAGACTTATTTGAGATTTTACATGAAGTAATAAGTGTTGCAAAATGCTGTTCTTACCATAAGAGTAAGAGTACACCTCAACCTCACATAAACTCAATATGCGAGAGTTAGTTGTTATTTTCACGGCATTTCCGAACAAGTAATCGTCACATCCGAAGCTTAACTGCTGTCCTTTCTCCAACACGCGCCGAAATGCACACTTTTTAAAGTGACTCAACTTTCCTTTTATTTCACCTGAATGATACAAAAGAATGAAATAAACTTTAAATCAAGTTTGGAAAAGAAGGTAATCGCAATTAATGAATGGAAATGCAACACGAATGGTAGGAAAAGCAAACAAATCAACGAGCCCCGGAGGATATACACTCAATCCAACACAAATTCATCCTTAATAGGGATGCTGGACTTATGTACAGCCTTCGCTCTAGAAGTAAGAGTCATATTGTTTTTTCGTACTCAAGTCCGTTTACATCCTGTATATCTTTTATGACCGTCACTCTCCTGGATCAGTCCCCATCACAGATACATCTTCAAAAGGGTTGATAAATGAGGCTTAATACGAAATAACTTTACTGTTAGATTTATCCGTAACTTGCAGTATTTTCATACCTACGGACACTATGAGACGATCCAAAGGAAATTTCGGGGAAGCAGCAACACGGACATAAGACACTGGCCTATAGTCGTCCAGATGCACAATGAGCCAAGGTTTATATTCATTTAGTGAAAGGAAGCATGTTTTTAAGTTGCTATCCACTACAAACCGGCCAAAAGCGAGAACCTCTTTACAGCCCACGTCTTTCTTGCAACCGTCAAAGTTGTCAGTCGAAGACGCAGTTACTTTCATTGCTGAGGCAAGATTCTGGCCGCTGTGTTGCAACTGAAAGCGCGCTGATGAAAGAACCAATACAAAAAGTATGTGTATATTGTTTAAGTCAACCTTTGATGAACAGAAAGTTAAAACAGTGATTAGATCTGTAAATTTGGTTCACCCTTCAAAGCACTGGAGGCAACTCTCTCCCACAAAAATTGACACAGTCTATTAATTTTTGTGTAATTTTTATTAACAAACCTAATTACCTTTTGGTTTTCTGATGCAGCGTTCGCCGGGATTAACATGATTGTCCATACCAAGTTTTGAAGAAGGAGATGGAATAAAGCCAACATTGCACTTGCAGTGATACGCGCCCGGAGGAAACGACGAACTGATGAATGTTTTGTCGCATTGAGATCCGAGTGAGGTACCACATTTGTTTGGCATGTCACAGATGTTAGCTATGAACAAAACAATTACTTTCTATGATACTGATAGCCGGCGTGATATCAACTGGTTATTTGCATTTGATGAGAAAGTTTAAGAGATTCTGCGATCGAGACAAAACAAAAACAAGGAAGGAGAAATGATATTCAATACCAGCACATATTTATTCACCTCTTCTTATTCGCACGTTACTTATACTGCAATGGAAGATCCGCAGTCGCTTTTTCTTGATTTTCTTTTCACTGAAAGCTGTTAAATGGATAGAGATCATAGTGAGCCTTGGAATTGATACCATTACGATCGAGGATTCAGTTAAACTAAGTCTACAAAAGCTATCTAGTGCAGTATTAAAAGTTAATAACAGATTCTACAAGACGAACGTCGGGTACATGTCAGGAAATTTGTCACAAAATACGTTTTAACCAATGTTTTTAAATCCCTACGACATTTTTTTGAGACAAAAAATTTAGAATTCGAAATTTATGGAAAATTCGTAAGCGATTTGTAGGTTTGATTTATACGAAGCAATTCGTGTGGCAAGCTAGTGGCATGTAACAAAGTTGCACCGTGTAAATCGGCCTCTAGGGTATTGCCCCTGTAGAGTCCTGTTATAGCACCACTCCAACCACTTATTGACAAAGCTCTCGCCCTTTCTCCTATCCTCGCCACCGCATCTAGTTCTACCGACTCGAGTCATTCTGCGAATCGCTGGGGAACAACATCAAGCTAGAATCAAGAAAGACTGTAGGCTTAAAAGGTTTGGTAAATAAAGCAAATGAAGTTGTGTGAGCTTACGGATGTAAACACTTTTGACCGCGACAGTTTCCTTATCCTCAGAGTAGTCAAGGACTGTTCCGTTGATGTAGATGTCATGATTCTTCGGACCACATTTATCTTCCCGGTAGTGGTTTTCACTTGGCTCCACAGGTATTAGGATAGATGCGTTCCTCTTCAACATTTCTTTTCCTGGAGGAAGATCTATAATGACGTCTTTCCTATAACGTGTATAATTATCGTAGCTTTTTCTGTTTTTGAACACCTTGAACCAAAATTTACCACTTTTATCTGCGCTCCTTATAATCCCCTTGATCAGTTTCTTGCCAGAACTCGTAGGAAGAAGGTAAGTCATTTGGTCGTCAAATGCATTACCTGAAGGCAAGAATCCAGAAAAAGAGTCATATTACATTCTCCACAATGATAAATCAAAATCTAAACGATATGCAAAGACTCGCGGATTACCACTCTTATAGTCGGTTTTCTAACTGGTTGCTACGTATAAAATAATGTGAGCCAAGAGATTATAAAATGTTTATAATCTCTTTTGTGAGCGTGGAAAAAATGAATAGACCGATATGTGAATGAATGTAGGGACATATTGATGGTGGGGTGGATGGAGAAGAAGGATCAGTGTCAGTATCTAGGCAACTGCCCACTTACCCCTCTCCTAACCCAACAACATTCAATGGATAACAAGGTAGGGTTAATGTTGTTGGGTTAGGGGAGGGGTAGGTGGGCAGCAACAAAACAGAAACCGAAAAAGAGAGACAAGGCCGATACGGGTAGTGCAAGATAGACCAGCGGGAACTTACCCGTGTTCATGTGGACCAGTACATCACACAATTCCAGCGTTGCTGCTCCTTTGTGGCCCAGTGAAATATAAACATATTTGCCCAGCATTGGCTCAGCACAGTCATATCGTTGCAAGTAAGCGCTTTTGATTTCAAGACCTTGGCGACACAGTCGGTTAGATTCAAAAGCCAGTTGTTCCTCATCACCTATGATTAAGTTCGAGTCGTGTTGGATTACTTTAAGCAAATCCACTTGAGAGGCTTACATCACAAGTCCTTTGCGTGGAGAAAATCTAAACGGCGTGGGTTGCGGGTCGTGGGTGAATTTTCGCGGGTTGCGGGTGAAATGTCGCGGGTCGCGGGTCGCGGGTCGCGGGTCGCGGGTAAATTATTGCGGGTCGCGGGTAAATTGTCGCGGGTCGCGGGAAGACTTTCGTGGGTCCCGAAAATTGTCGCGGGAGAAAGAAGATGGTTTCTCCTAAATGCAACGCTTCTCCCCACAAACGGCTGCTTTGATGCGAACCCCATTTCCTTGTGCGAGTACATTTATTCACTATCACTATCCCAACTAAATTTTCTAAATTTTTCGCTCTTGGAAGTTCCCTGGCTCTGAAATCCTCGTCGATTTTCGATGAACATCCTGTAATTTTCTTCAAAATCGTCTGTTTAGTTTTGTATGCTTTTTGCTAACCTGCCTTCAGCGGGCTTCTAAAAATAAAAATAGTTTTTAAGCTTTATTCATAACTGCCCTAAGTTCATTTGTGGTATTCCGGTTTTATTTTTGACAATTTTTTCCGGTCTTATTTATTTATTTATTTGTTTTTATTAGTACGTTTATAGCTGGCATAAAATGACAATGGCACACTTTTTCCAAAAATATAGGTTGTATCATACAGTCAATCAAGCTACTTAAACGGAAATGTGAACGGAAACCACAACAGCATCTTGTGCCTCATTCACCGGAAACCCCCGCGATTTTCGCGCCAACACTTGTGTCATTGTAGATTGGTAGGCATGCGCTTCGGATCAAAGAAGCCGTTTGTGGGGAGGAGATTTAAAACGGCTACGAAATGTTGCGGGTCTAGGGTGTAGAAAACGAGCTATTCCAAATAATGTATAGATGTGAACGCACTAGTCTTATCCTGCTGAGGTTTAAAAATCCCAATCTTTTATCCAGTCCTTTTATATTTAAAGCTATTTTAAATGCGCCCCTTTCTCCCTACCCTTCCCATGTACTTTTCCTACACAGGCTACCTGTGGAAAGTGCCTTGATTGTACAAACTTCAATCTGTGCCAGATTTCATGGACACGCGTCAGTGTCGAAATTAGGGTTGTTAAAAAGCTCTGAATCGTTAGAACTTTGTACGTTACTCGTTTTAAACTGTTGTCTACTTTTTGTGGTATCGTTCAGGCTTATTTTAAGTTGATCACCCGTGCCAAGCATCTCTGTTTTAGCTGAAAGAAACGATAAAGCCGGAGATAATTTTCCTAAAAAACCACGTGGGGTTTGCGCCGTCTGTTTGGAAACAGTTATGGTTATTTCTTCAGAATCTTGCTGCATGCTATAGCGGTCTAGTGATTCCTACAGGGGATAGCTTTGAAAGGTAAGCGGTCCTCTTTTTTTTCTTTTCTTTTTCGTAGCAAATAACGCGATAAAAAATTGAACTTTCATTACCAGACTGTTTGCGCAATTCAGCCTTAATCAAACATAAGTGACACTCAGCTATGAGCATGACTTGCGTGACTGTCACCCTGGCAATTCACAGAATAAATGTTTCACTTCTCCCCTCAAATTTTCCTTTCCAAAAATAATCCAGCTCCATTTGCCCTAAAGATGCACCCAAATACATTTTACTCTTTTATACCGCAGAACCTTGCATATAAAAAGGCCACCACAAAAACAAGGAGAGAAATAATAGAGGACCTCCTTCCAAATGACTCTCGAAGTAAAAGCTAACAAGTCTGGACTCTAGAAAAGGAGAAAAAAAGAGGACAAGCACCGAGATGCCGGGCTTGAAGAAAAAAACAAAATGAAGGCGAAGTTACCGTCACCGTTAAAGGAATTTATGTCCCTTATGAACAGAATTTCGTTCCAGGAACAATGTTTTGTTGTTGTCCGAAGCAACAATGCATAATGCGTAGGTACCACAATGGAACAATTTAAAACCACCTGATAGAATCAGAGCTGACAGTTCATTTACTGACATCACAATAGCAGTTTTCAAAGATAATGGTTTGTCAATTTGTGATTCTGTTAATTGATGATTAAGTCTTGAGATCAATGCGTTTGAATTTTTTGTTCATTCCTTTTGCCAACTAAAATTTTCTTTCGTAATGAAAAAAATAAACATTTGAAAAAATTTAAGCAATTACAATTTCTCCGATATATCACCCTTGCGAAACCTCTATGCAACGACATATCGTAGAGCGCACGGCACATTGATTATCACCATCTATCGGAACATCCCAGTTAAGCATATTTTAAGAGAGCGGATAGCGTTGAAGGCGCGCCTTGATTGTGTACTCAAACTCCGAATATCCTTTGCACCTCCGAGCAACTCACGCGGGATCCGTGTCCGGAAGTATTTTAATCGTTGTAGGAAAAAAATATTCAAAATCATATTTTTATGCTGTATTATCTTGCTATTTTAGTATATACTAAAACAACTATTTACCTCAGTGTCAAGGCTACGAGTGGTCATATTCAGCAAGGACGTCGCGTTTTCCGCCTTTTCTAACCTTGCTGATTGAACTTGGTTTGTTCGTTTTTTGGAATAATGACTGCCGCAAGATTTTTTGTGGACGTGTTAACTGTTTTGTTAGGAAAGAAAACTGAAATGGCTTGCTTTTTACACGGTGGTTCTACAGGAAGTTCTTTTCAAAATAGCGACACGTAAACAATCGAATCGACCTCGTCGCCTGATGAAGACTAGCAGTATTGCAGTCGAAACGTCGCGATCTACATCATAGGTGACTCTATCGTAAGACAAACGAACAAAGTTCAACTCCACAATGTATGGAAGTTATCCAAGCCCACAGATGGATCGAAATTTTTATCACATGACTGGTTTATACATAGAAATTCTTTCACTGTTATCTTGAGCCTTACCTATTCTGATGTCAACGTTTGATAGCCTTCTTCTAGTTAGAATTTTAACAGACACTACCCACACTCGCGTTTCTAAATCAACTCTCCACATCTGCTTTACCAGATGACGGGTTCGAGAGCAGGTTTCAGAATTTCCGTCTACGGCATGACTGGCCAGATAGTGAGTTTGTGTGCTGCTTTGAGATGTAGGTCGTTTTTCAGCAATATCAATCCAATCTCCAGTAACTAATAAAAATAAACAACATACTTGAAATTTCGGGAAATGAAAGCACAACTTTTTTATGTAGTGTGTTACGACAACAAATGTCTTCACTTTTGATGACCTCACACCTTTTGAAATCCCTAGGGAATATTCGAATAATCATTCACTAAAAGATATCTGGCACTGATATGCTCTAAATCCTTCAAAGTAGCTGATTTTTCGTTTATTAATCAGAAAATTTGTAAATATTGGTTCATTCTCTTTACGCTTTAAAAAGAAATATCAGGAATGAATAATTTATTCCTTTTGTTTTTATATTTTCTTCATAACATCGTAACCTATATGGCCGAATAACTGAAGGGTCGTAATTCTTATACAGTAGGGCATTCATGGAAAAAAAACACAAACTCACTTAAAAGTGATAAAATGTCCATAACCCTAAATGATATGAAGACTGAACTAACTTAATTTAAACGTGAAAACACGATATTATGTGACAGTCACATACAGCACAATACCATATCTCCATAATTTTTTGGTCGTCACCATCTTACCGTTTAGCAATGCAAAATATTGCAGCAAGACAAGAAACAAAATCTCAACAACGGTATTTCTGCTCATTACAATGAAATTCTGATCTAGGAATGAACAGTCTACTTAAGTTTTCACATGGCGACTGCTCGACACTTATTTCACTGAAGGCCAGTGTTATAGATTTGTAATAATTTAATGACGTC